CCTTCCACAAAAAGATACAGCATAAAATGCCTGCTGGTGTCATACTGTCACAGTTCAGGACTATTCCATTTTTCTGTCTGGAACCATTTTCTGTCTGCCTTACAGTGCCAGAGGTAGAAGGAGAAGCAGAGAGCATCAGCTCCCTATGCTCACAGATCACCAATGCCTTCAGCACACCCTCTGAAGACCCCTTCTCATCTGCCCCAATGACCAAACCAGTGACAGTGGTGGCATCACAGTCACCTGCCTTCCAAGGTCAGTGCCCCTGGACCTGCTCTGCTTTTCTCTTTTAAAATAGTGCTCTTATTTCACTGGACACCATAAGTTGGCATCCTCAGCTTCCCAAGAGCTGGGCAAACCCATTATCATCAATGTCTTAGATTCACTGGTTTCCCTATTAAGCAGTGTCTTTGTGCTTTGTTTCCCTTCCTGTTTCCTAAGCTGTCTGCATTCATCATTTTTCATGCATGTGCCTGTCTTTTGTCCCCGCTAGTAGGAGATTCTGTAACCCCAATCCACTGCTTGACTTGCCACTTGACAGTTAAGTGTCAGAGTGTCCAGCCAGTTTTCCAGAAGCAACAGTCATTAGGATTGATTCTAGCATAGTGGTTCTCAACCTGGTACAGTTTTGCCCCCTCAGGGAAAGTTTGGCATTCATTGTATGGAGACATTTTGGGGTTTCAAAGACAAGTTGGGGTGAGGGTTGTTTTTGCTGATAGAGGCCAGGGATACTCCCAAACCTCCTTCAAAGCATAGGACAGCACCCACAATAAAGAATTATCAGACCCAAGGGCCGGGGATTTAGCTCAGTGGTTCCACTGCCTGCCCCACAAGCGCAAGGATTGGAGTTGAATCCCCGGTACTAAAAAAAAAAAAAAGAATTATCAGACCTAAAATATCAGTACCCAGGTTGAGAAGCCTGGACACACCTAGTCTCTGTCCTGTCATAGAGGTTCATAAAAGGCACTTCTTTTGGCTCTCTAGTTCATCGATAACAAATGTCCTAAAATTTGCTTTGGCAATTGAAGACTTACTACAAATTGTTTTTTCAGAGATGTTGAATTAATAGTTGGCATTGACTTAGATCAACAAAGAATGTAATTCAAATTGAGGACTCCTAATTTGAGTTCCTATAATTCCCCTTTTTTCATTCTTCTTTGAAAGAGAGCTCAGAAAAAGTTGTGCTCTGTAGACAGAACCCTCCTCTTATTGGAGGATGCTGCTGTACCCTTTGACTCCAGGAGAGTCTGTCTCTCTCTTCTCTTTTGTTCTCTTCTCCTCTTCTCTCCTCCTTCCTTCACACCAAACCTTGGTGTTTTTCGTGTCACCAAGTAGCCTTTTATCTTATCTAACATATTTATAATACTAGTTATAATGGGGATAAGCACAGTATATTAAGCACTTAACACAGTGCCAAGATTGTGGTTGAGTATTCATGCATTATCTTATTTAATTCCACAACAACCCTTTGAGGTAGGGAGTACAGATTAAAAAAACAATGCTCAGAGAGGTTAAGTAACTGCCTGAATTATACAGCCAGGATTTAAATGCAGATCTTTCTGAATATAGCACCCATTACATTCTACTGATCGTGCCTGTGAATAAGACCCTGGGTATAGGGAACTGAATAGAACATAGTCCTTTCCTTGCCTTTTAAGGAAATCCCAGTCTATAGATAGATCATTTTTTAGATAGGACCTGGGTAGATGTTACCAACACCGTAGGCATGGTTGCTCAGTCCTAAACAGAGTTTTATATTATGAGGCAAGGGGAGATGCTTGTCTGCACCATATTAAGTATGATAGAGGGATAAAGAGTGGAGACTGATAAAGATTTCTGGAGTAAAAGGAACAGGGTTAGGAGATTTTAATAGAGATGAGGAAAAATAAGCACTTTGAGTTATTATGAACATTGCAAGTATAGGAAAATCAAAAAAGATAAAATTATAAGTTTACTAAGCAAATGAAAATGTACCAAGTTTGATTTCTCATCTTTTACATGGAAATATATAATATAGTAGTTCACCCTTATTCATGGTTTCCCTTTCCAAGGTATCAGTTATTCATAGTCCACTACTATCTTAAAATGTTAAATAGAAAATTCCAGAAATAGATAATTCATATATTTTAAATAATTTGTATTACAGTATATTATTACGGTTATTCTTTTTTATTGTTATTAATCTCAACATGCCTAATTTATAAATGAAACGTTATTGTAGGTATGTATAAGAAAAAGCATAGTATATACAGGGTTGGGTTCTTTCTAAGGTTTTAGTCATCTGCAGAATGTCTGAGAACTTATCTCCCAGTGGTCCTACATGCCAATCTTATGGGGTTTTTGAGGAAATTAAATGAGATAATGCACATAAAATACTGTTAGCCTAGTGCCCAGCACATAATAAGGAAATATTTTATTTAACCATTATTGTTATTGATATTTTTACTTTTGGATGAGTTAGAAAAAAGAAATGCCTTATCTACTTGTTAAGCCAAAGGCTAAATTATATCTAGAATAGCTAGGTTTTTGTGCTGCTTATAAGAGCAGCTTTATTCAACTTAATTTGAAAAGTTTTAAAGGCTTCATTTCCTTCTCCCTGTACACAAATTTTCCCAAAACAGTCATTTGACTTTATCACTACAATCATTTCAGTTATAATCTCTGATTCCTTCTTTGCCAAAGGTCTGTGTATCCATTCCAAGATAACATGGTTGTCCTATCATCAACCATCTTGTCTTATCTCTTCCACTAGTGTTGCTGGCCTGACTCACCCAGCTCCATGATGTCACTTGTGCATCTTGCATGAATTAACTCCATTGATGTTGTCTGCTCCCATTGTAGCTAATGGCAGTGACTCAGCCTTCCATGTGCTTTCTGCTAAGCCAGCCCATACTGCTCTAGCACCCATAGCAATGCCTGTGCGTGAAACCAACCCTTGGGCCCATGCCCCTGATGCTGCTAACAAGGAAATTGCAGCCACACATCCGGGTAAGGTGGCCACAGATGGTGGTGAGGATTCTGGGATCAGATAAGTGACCCTGGTTCTAAAACCAGGCAGTTACCTGAGTGGAAACTAGAGAAGAATCCTTTTTAAGAAAAGTATGTTATCTCCTGGACAGGATGGTGAAGGAGGAGAAAACATAGAGCTTTTTATGAAATGCAGATTCCTGAGCCCCGCCCCAGGGAATCCATCCCTGGATTTGGCAATGGACAGACATGCCTATAGGAAGAAGGAACCTTGCCTCCCACAAGGCAGTGGTTTTCTGTATTTACTAGTTTTTCTGTAACTATAAGACATTTTAAATTAGTAGTAATCATTCACCAGAAAAGCACCATATGTCTGGAAACCAGGCAGGGGCCAGCACGGTATGCCCAGATCACTGGTTCTTCTATTTTTGCCCTGTTAGAGTGAAGCCCTTGAGCACTGTGAAGCATGTGCATAGTTTCCATACTGTCCAGAAGCCATTGGGACAAGGAGGGGTTTCTGACACTAGCCAGCTGCCTTAGTTCAGTGCATTTGAGGCATTTTAAACAGCTCCTTGACATGGCTGAGGCAGCAGCATGGTCTGACAGGTTCTCTTTGTCCTACCACAAAATCTCCTTAGCTGGCAATGCAATATTTTTCCTCTCACCTATCAAAGCCACAGAACATTCTATTAGGAGAACTTGTTCCACATGTTAGGATCATTCAAATAACTAAGGTTATGAGGTGAGGAAAGAAATCACTCACTCTTCTCTCTCTCCATCTTGCTGGTTCCAGGCACCGAGTGGGGCCCATCCTCTCCAGATCTCCTCCAGGCTGGCCATAGACGCACTCCCTCAGAGGCTGACCGCTGGCTAGAAGAAGTGTCTAAGAGCGTCCGGGCCCAGCAGCCCCAGGCCTCTGCTGTACCTCTGCAGCCAGTCCTGCAGCCTCCTCCACCCGCTGCCATCTCTCAGCCATCACCACCTTTCCAAGGGAGTGCATTCCTCACCTCTCAGCCTGTGCCGGTGGGTGTGGTCCCACCCCTACAGCCAGCCTTTGTCCCTACCCAGTCCTATCCTGTGGCCAACGGGATGCCCTACCCAGCCCCTAATGTGCCTGTGGTGGGCATCACCCCCTCCCAGATGGTAGCCAACGTGTTTGGCACTGCAGGCCATTCTCAGGTCGCTCACTCCCGTCAGTCACCCAGCCTGGTCAAGCAGCAGACATTCCCTCAGTACGAGACAAGCAGTGCCGCCACCACCAGTCCTTTCTTTAAGCCTCCTGCTCAGCACCTCAACGGTTCTGCAGCTTTCAATGGTGTAGACGATGGCAGGTTGGCCTCAGGAGACAAGCACACAGAGTTTCCTGCAGGCACCTGCCCAGTAGATCCTTTTGAAGCCCAGTGGGCTGCATTAGAAAGCAAGTCCAAACAGCGTACTAATCCCTCCCCTACCAATCCTTTCTCCAGTGACTTACAGAAGACATTTGAAATCGAACTTTAAGCAATCTCTATGGCTTATGTATCTTGACTGTATTTAGGCAAAGGCAGGGGGTGGAGGTCAAAGGGGACTTTGTCTTCCTGATCAGTATACTTTTCACTAATCCCAAAGGTCCCAAGGAACAAGTCCAGGCACAGAGTGCAGTGAGGGGTGACTTGAGAAATATGGAGAAAGTCATTCCTATCAAATACTGTCTTACAGTTAGGCTAAAGTTGAGAAAATATTGCCCTCTGTACTCTTCCTCTCTCACCCCCTTACAAATCTCTGGCAACAGAGAGGCAGAAGTACCTGAACAGGAATCTATTCAAAGCACATCTACTGGAATATAAAACAGAAAACGGAAGCAAATCTCCCTTTATTTTCGAGGCCATTGACCTGCCTCCCAGTACAATGGCCTAGAGAGTGGTTTGGGCTCGGGCTGGGAGGGGAGGCAGGCTGTGGTGCCTGAAAGGCACAGAAGCAACTGCCCAGCAGGGCTACTTGGGGGGTATAAAAGCTGAGCTTCCATTTTGAGTAACAGAATAAATAGATATATATCAAAAGCCAAAATCTTTTATTTTTATGCATTTAGAATATTTTAAATAGTTCTCAATATTAAAAAGTTGTAAGTAATCTTGCCAAAAGTAAAGGCGTTATTTGTAAGAAATTGTACATAAGATTGATCTATCGATGCTTATTGAAGTAAAAAGGGGTGGACGTTGCAGGCTCGATCCCTAGCTTGTTTGCCATCATTGTAAGTAGCCCATTGCAACAACAATCATGCTTATGACCAACAGACACTAGGTTGTTTTTAAAAAATGAAAGCAGTATTGTCCTGGTTTTAAACCTCTGAAATTCTATTGTCATTTTAATGGAATCAGTCTATGCTCTAGAGAGAATACATATTATCTTTTATATATCATTGGAATTTCCTTGTTAATCCGTTAACACTAAGGTGATAGTGACATCTTCACAGAAGGGAACGTAGGTTGCTGTGTTGGTTTGTAATGTGGGTCTTGTCCTTTAAAGTTTGTTCCCACATTTTGTGGGGATGAGGACCTTGGTTTTATTAGCTTTGTGTGCCCCCACCCGCCGCCCCCTTGGTGAGACTATCCCATTGCCAGTTGCAGCCACTTGACCTCGGGTAACATGAGATCCCATCTCATTTTTACTTTTGAATGTTGGCCTTACAATCAGATGTAAGTTATATATATATATTTGTACTGATGAGAATTTATAATCTGCTTTAACAAAAATAAATGTTCATGGTAGAAGCTTTTGTCCATGAAGGACTGTTCTTTCCTCTTATAAGTTTAAAAGCTTATTCTGTCTCTGCTAGTTTAGTGGCTAGAAAGTCTTTGTGACTGTTATATCCTTAAAATTCATGTTTTCCTTTATAGAGATGTATTCAGGATCAATCAAAGCCTAAAATCAGATGCTTGCTGCTCAAAGTGGAGCCTGGAACAGCAGCATGGACCTTACCTAGGACCTGGATGCAAAGGCAGCTTCTTAGCCGCACCCAGGACTGGCGCTGTCCCCCTCAACTTGGCTGTCTATGAGAATCACTTCAATTTAAATCCTAATCCCAAGCAAAAAACTAATGCCCAGCCTATACTCCAGACCAATTAAATAGAATTTTAGTGGGTTTGAGGGAAAGGAGAGGGGGTAGGGGCACATGATTCAGTTGGGTTTTTAAGTTTCCAGTATAGAAGAGGGTTAGAATTGCTGGTCTTGACTGAATACCCTCACCTCTGTGACTATCACTATTACTATTACTATTCTGTGACTAGTTCTAAGAAGGGCTAGCTGCAAAGAGCTAATCTTAGCTGTACCTTCGGAAGCATGTGCCAGTAGTTTCATTAAACCAGAGAGTCCAAGAAAGCAGCTCTTTCCAATTTGTATAAACAAAACCAGCCCTGGTAAATGCAAAGGGATGCTTCTCAGTGTTTAAATGGGGAAAAATGGTATCTACCCTGACCCATATTTCCTTTGACTGAAGCAGACTGAGCAGTATCACTCCTTGTGACACCATTTCTCTTTTACAGCCGTATGTTCGTAACTAATGAAAATCACCTTTCAGCACTTTGGTCACTGTAATGCCTGTCTTTCCTGTGTGCAAGAATAACCTTTGTTATTAGACAGACCTCTCAAGATCTGGAGAAAGCTAAAAGTGGAAAGGGACTGAGAAGCTTATTGATCTTGGGTCTCTTAATTCAGTGTTGAGGCAGAAGTTCTGGAAGATGAATTCCTTCCTGTAGCTCACATCATTTCTGAAACCGCTTCCCTATTAGTACATTGTTCCCACCTCCTACACATACTGGTTCCTCGTTCCACTAATGCTATCTGTAACAGTCTGATTTCTCTCTAGCAGCAACTGTTCTGCTTTACAGATTCCTACTTAAGAGGTTCCTCGTCTCTGCAGACCAGGCCAGCCAGCTGTCTGTGTCGGCCTCAGAAGGGCTCCGGGCGCAGCTTTTCCAGGCTTTCCATGCTTAGATGACGATGCTAACTGTGGTTCTTTCATCTCAACACCCTATGAGGCCTACATTCCACCTTGGTCAGAGTTTTCACAAGCTTGATGCTGCTAACCCTATGCACCAATGGGATTTCCTACCTAGAAAGGAGAGAGAGTCCTGAGAAACTTGGTTCTAGCACAGAATACTTCGCTGACACAATAGGAGTTGCCATTCCCTGTATAAGACCTCTCCACTCACCTATAAATGAGATGAGCCCTGACAGCTTGTTTTAAAATTCAGTGAACTAGCTGGATGTCGTGGTGCATACCTATAATCCCAGCACTCAGGAGGCTGAGGCAGGAGGATTGCTGTTAGAGGCCAGCCTAGGCTACATAGTGACTTTAAGGCCAGCCTGAACTACATAGTGAGAAACTGTCTCAAGAAAAAAAAAAAAACTGATCCTTTTTTTGGTTTGGTTTTGTTTTTTGGTACCGGGGATCAAACTCGGGTCCTTGCACTTGCACAGCAGGCGGTGAAACCACTGAACTAAATCCCCGGCCCAAACTGATCCTTTTTGTACATAACCTGAAACCCAAAATACTCCAAAGTCCAAAAATTTGTGCACACCCACATGACACAGAAGTGTTTCAGGATTTTTGATTTTGGGGATTAGGGATACTCAGCCCTAGTCTGCAAATATTCCAAAATCTGAAACACTTCTAGTCCCACACATTTCAGATAAGGGATCCTCAACTCATCACAAATTGTAAAGGGACGTTGCAGAGGAAAGGCTGCGCTATTCTGGGCAACTCAGCAGCAGCTGGGGTTTTGTCAGAGATGCGGACTCTGCTGAGGACTTCAAAGGGGGGCTGGTCCTGGTGGCTGCTGAGGTGAGACACGGGGTGGCTTTCTCAAGGGCATTGTCTTTGGACGATTTCTTTGCTGGCCAGGGAAGAGTCTTCTTTCTCAATTCTTCAGAACTGGGGCAAGAACCAGCCTTTATCCCTGCTGCTGGGCAGGCTGAGCGTGCAGCTGGAAGCGGGTGCAGCTGGCACAGCAGAAGCTGGAGTAATACTCATTGTTGCAGAGCTGGGCCTGCAGGATCAAGTCACAGTTGGCCAACTCGGGCTGATCAATGCAATCCCTGCCGGCTTCCCTGGACGGGGCGGTCGCTGCTGCAGAACAGGGAAGAGGGGTGAGGCAGCTGAGTGTGTGAGAGAGTCACCTGCCACCTGTACAAGCAGAAGAAGGGGTAGGGTTTCCACCACCCATTGGCCTTACCCCGGCATGCAGTGGTCCTCTTGCTACTTGTACTTGTGGCCTCAGCCTAGGCTACAGCCCTTCTCAGACTTCCAGCTATTTACTGACTGGAAGGCTAAACATTTCTCTCTTCAAGTTCTCTCCTACCTTCACTGTTGAGAGCTGAAGAGCACTTAGGATCGGCCCTAAAATTTGAGTCAGCATGAGCTGCATTGTCTTCTCCCTTTCACTCCTGGATTCCTCTAATGCCCAGAGCTCTGCCTGCAGTTCCTAGCTAAGGCTAGATCAGAGGTGAAACACAGGCCTAGCATCTAGTACTTATAAGGCCCTACATTCCATCCCCAGCACCACACACATCTGTAGTTTTTATACTTTATATGTAATACATACAAATCTATTTTATATACAATAGCATATATTTAAGACTATATTTTATTTTAGTGTTAGCAGTATACTGAGAACACAGCCCTTGTTGCCTCCCCTCTACCTTCCTGGGAGCTGCACCACACTGCTCCATCTGGGTTGGGCTGCCGTGCTGAGCTAACGTCTCTATGCAGCAGCTCTTCCAGCCTTAGGCTGCGCATCATCTTCCCTAAAGCCAGGCCTCACAGGGCTCTGAAAGCCCTTAGCCTCCTTGTTACATCACAAGTTACCGTGAAAAGACCAAACCTAACTAGAGAATGGCCTTAAGACAGGTCTGGTCTACTAGCGTGACCAGGGCTAACGCCATTCACACAAATGGAAAAGCCATCATTTTAAAAAACCTGTAACTTTGTTATCAACTTTATCAGGTTCTTGCAGCACTGGACCTGTTGTGGTAGGCACTCAGCACGCTAATCAACACTCTTGTCACCTACTACCTTCTTTCCCCAAAACAATCTGCCTTGAAAACTAGAGATCAAAAATGCCAGCCACAGTCAGCCTATCCTTGCCTTACCTGCCATCATTGTTCTCTTGCTCTGTGGCCACTCCATAAAGCAGGAGAGTTTGAGCTTTCCCAACACAGCAAGTTCCTTCTCATGTAGAAAATGAGTGACAGCCTATCTTTCATCTCTGGTATTTTCTGCTCTTTTTTGAGACAAGGTCTCAATATGTAGCCCAGGCTGGCCTTGAACTCATGATGATCCTCTCAGCCTCCCAACTGCTGGGATTACAGTTCTGTGCCACCATGCCTGACTCCTCACTCCACTCTTAACCAAAGTGACCAAGAAGTCCTCACATTAGAACCATGTCTCTTGCCCCAGAGCATGACCAGCCTGAGGCTCACCCTCATGTCACCATTGTAATTCCAGGTGCCCACAACCCATCAGTCAGGCAGCCTCATACTTTGTGATCCTGGAAAAACTAGTGAGAGCAGACACTTGCAGTCTGATCAGAATGAATAGAGAGGAAGAGGATAGCTTGTGGCCAAGCAAGGTGTCCCCACAATATCTAGAACTAGCACCATTCACCCAGCAGAGGGCAGGAGAAGGACTGAGGCCATGTCCTGTCTGGGACTCAGGTGCTGCCAGATCCCTTCGGCCTGGTAGACCACACATGGACAAGAGCCCAACCAAACCATCACCAAGCAAGTTTCTGATAATCCTGATTTCCTATGCAGACATCTATAGCTAATTACAAACCTGGGTGGGTCCTCAAGGGTGGGTAGTTATGTGCACAAAAGAGATTATCTGGATGCAATAGCGGTGAAAATAAGACCCTGCAATACAGTGCTCTCACCAGGACAGGGCCATCTCTTACACATGTGCACATTCACCTAGCCACTGCCTAAGCTCAGTCCCCCTCACACCTTTCAGTCACACCTGCAATCGCTAGCATTGGCCGGTTCCCCCCTCAGCTGGCAGGTAGGAGGCACTTCGGATGGCCGGCAGCCCTGACAGCAGAAACGGCCAGGTAGAAAGCAGGCAGAAAGGGCCCCGGCCCCTCCAAGCCCTCTGCCCTCCCCCAAGTCTGCATCAGCTCTGTAAGAACGAGCTGCTTGGCCCAAGGCACTGCTCAGTTTCTCATCCCTCAATGAACTTGGACCAAGGACAGAGAGAGGGCAGCAGGGCCCTTCCCTTTCTATGAACACAGCTCTAGTGAGTGTGAATGTTAAATCACCAATTCTAAGATGCACTTTTCACATCTCTCAGATTTGTCTAAGCCTTAACAGATGGTGTCATTTAATTGGCAGCATTTTTTTCCATAATGGTAATACCCTATAATACAGTACTTATATTTTAACAAATCAAACTCACCAACAGCAGGAGCTGGAGAATATAAGGCTAAAATATCAAATTACTGAATAATGCAGGTAAAATTCCACTCCAAGGGTGATAGTTCAGTGAAAATACATAAATAAACTGAGGAGTCAAAAGACCTGGGTTCCAGGCCCAGCTGGGCCACTAGTCTGCTATGTATGTGACTGGTGGAAACATACTGAGCTCCTGTCTGCGTGGGCTCTTGTTCTCATGTGTTAAAAGGTAATGATGCCCCAGCCCTATTCTTTGTGGGTTAAAGGTTCACAGGGTCACAGAGGTACTTTTTAGGACCACTTTTTGCCACCCTGATTAGAATGGAGATTTTAGTGGTCCGTTTGCCTCAAGTATTATAATGGAATGCCAGCCAGTTATATTTTTTGAAATAAATCACTAAGTAAATGACAGTGCTGATCATCGATAAGGCTATTACCAGGCCCAGCAAGCAGTTCCCTTTCCTCCACCTCAGCCTCAGAGTGTGGGACAGTCTCACTCCACAGAGCAGGAGAGCAAGGCTGTAGGGTGCAGCTCCTTGCCCTGAATCACAACCAGAAACTGGCAGAGTGAGCCAGGATTTAAACTCAAGCCCCTCAGACTGCTGAGCCTGCATCTCTCACAGCTCACAGCCAGCCCCCGAGGAGGAGGAAATGCCCTGGGGAACACATCCCGGACAGGCTACTCACCTGGGGCAGCCACCTTCACCTCGGTGCTGCGGCTGACTGCCTGGCTCCCACGGTAGGCGCTGCAGGTGTAGGATCCTTCGTCCCGGGCCCGCAGGTTGTGGATCAGCAGCGTACCGTCTGGGGACTGGTGCACTCGGCGGCCGTCAGCCTGCACTGGCACCCCATTCCTGCAGGGGAGAGGACATGGCATCACCTAGTGCCTCTGGTCTTCAGGCCCTACAAGGCCCGGGACAATGAGGGAGAAGGTCATCAAAGACCGTTCCAGAGCCAACCTACCTCTGAGGGCAGACAGATGACCCAAGGAAGAGGGGACAAGCCCACAAAAAAGGAAGAACATTATGAAAGCAAAGTAACAAGTGACATCAGCCCACATAGACGCAGTGTGCACAGGGCCCTGTGTCACGGAAGCCAACAGAATTGCTGAGCACCTTGCTGCCTCTGCGTGCTGGTGAGGGGCACAGGTGTGTGGGGTGCCTTCCCTAAGGATGCTGCTGGCTGAGACCTGACAGCCAGCTAGCAGCTGGCCAACCATACGGGAGTTTGTGGGGGACTTGGGAGTGGGAGCAAGGGAAGTTGTGACAGGCAGCACTCAGCAGGGCCTTGGGTGATGGAGGGGTTTGAGCTAAGCGGGGACTGACAGGAATTCACGGAAGCACGGCGCCCAGGGAGTGGCTGCTGCCTCAGTGCACATGGGGTAGATGGCACAGGCAGTGAGATAAAGGGACTCGGGTGAAGCTCAGATGTGGGAGGTGGAGGAGAAGAAGCAATCGGCCTGGGTTACTGTGGGGATGGTTTACCTCCAACCTGGAGAGACTCCAGGCTGGGGCGAGGTTAGACTCCACCATTTGGAATCTGGGGTGTTTGTGAGATACCAGAAACCACTGGGTTCAAGGGCTGGAGACCAAGAGTCCAAACACATCTGCGTATCAGCATGAGGGGCCCCAGGAAGCACATGTCATCAAGGCTGTCTGAAGTGAAGCCACTGTGACCACCAAGGACAGCCATTTCCTGGAGCCAAGGGAAGCAAGCATTTCAGGAAGGAACGAGTGGCTAGCAGAAGAACCCTACAGGTCCTGTAAGGACTGAGAAGTATCCATGGGGTTAGCAATAGGGAAGTGGTTGACAGCCTTAGCCAGGGTAGTGTCCCTGAGTGGGGGCTGGATTCTAGTCAGACAGTGAAGGCAGAGACAATTCAGATGAACGGCAGTGCTAAGGGTGCAGGGCAGACAGTGGAAGCCATGAGGCTTTGGGCATCAAGGCCACATAAAAGGCAGCTGACCTCTGCAGCCCCATTGCCTCTCCCCAGAGCCTGCAGAACATTCCCATCCCAGAATCCTCTGAAACACCACCTTCCACCTTGTTGCTTTCCCCCACAAGAACATCCTTTGCCCCCAGTCGTTAAAGTCCAGCCAAAGCCACTTCCCCTGGCTTCCCCTCCCTGGACCAAAGCAGCCTCGCCCTCCATGTAGACAGTGCTCAGGGCAGAACTCGTCTGGAGCTCCTGGGACAGGGACACGGGGCCAGCTCCTGCCTGGAACCCCAAGGATCCCCAGAACCCAGCCTAGTCCTGACACATTCCAGGAAAGGAGGGGCAAAAAATGCTGAATGAAGAAATGAATACAAGACCAACTAATCTGGGATTAAAGGCCACTGAAGTCCCCAAAACTGGTTCTCAGTGGGGGGAAGAGAGTTTTACCTGGACCATCTGATGTTCACACTTTCATCTCCCACCACACAAGGCAGCCTGGCTGTGTCACCCTCTGACACTGTCACACTAGGCGGCAACCCTGTGATTGTCAGCTCTCCTGGGCATAAAGAGGAAGCACTGTCAGCCATGGCGCAGATCCTGCCCCCACCCTCAACCTTGAAGCCATCAGCCTCACTAAGCACTCCCACCTTACCCAGAACTCTGAGCTGGACCCAGCGCTGGTCTCGGTCCTGCCCATTGAAAGCAACACAGGCATAGAAGCCACCATCTTCTACAGCCACTTGGCTGATGACCAAAGAGCCATCTGGCTGCATCTGGTGTCTGGGGACAAAGCAGTTAATAATTGGCTCCAGCTGTGAGGGTCTACAAGCGATGGGGGAGGAGTAGGGAGATAGGGATGAGAGTCTGAGCAGCCACTACTGTCCAGTGAGGTTGAGCCAGAGACCTGCTGGGCCTCAGTCCCTCACGCCCTCCAGCTACCTGCACTCTAATTTACTAGAAAATGTTTGCCTTTTAAGATCAACTGTTCTATTAGCTTTTTTTGTTCTTTCAATTGTTTTTACTTTGGGTTTCTCATATAAGAGAAACCATGCAATATTTAATCTGTGTCAGATTTATTTCACTTACCTTTGTACATCCATTTTCCTACAGATTTGCTAAAATTTATTCTTTATGGCCGAGTAGTACTCCATTGTGCATATGCATATATATATATATACACACACATTTTCTTTACCCATTCATCTGTTGATGGGCATACAGGCTACTTCTATGATTTAGCTATTGTGAATTGTGCTGCTATAAACATAGGTATGCATGTATCCCTGTAATATGATGTCTTTAACTCTTTGGGGAAGATATTTAGAAAGGGAATAGCTGGGTCAAGAGGATATCTATTTTTAGTTTTTTGAGGAATCTCCAGACTAATTTCCATAACGGCTGTATTAGTTGACACTCTCACCAACAATGTAGAAGGGTTCCTTTTTCTGCTACAACCTGGCCAGCATTTGTTGTATTTTAAGTTCTTGATGATAGCCATTTTTTGTGGAGTAAGATGGAATCTCAGTGTATATCAAATTTTCCAATACAAAATAATTCTGGTTTCAGTTGGGTGTGCTGGTATAGACTTGAAATACCAGCACCTTGGGAGGCTGAGGCAGGAGGGTCTCAAGTTCAAGCTCATCCTGGGAAACTTAGCGACTCATTGAGACCCTATCTCAAAATTAAAAAGGCTGGGAATATAGCTCAGTATGAAGGATCAGGATTAAATTCTCAATATCAGAAAAAAAAATCTGGTTTCTCATTGTCATCAAAGGTTTAAATCCTGGTACTACCTTCTATGAGGTTGCGATGCTAAGTTCCTGTGTGTAAAATGAGGAAAAAGGAGCACCTGCCTCAATGTGGCTCCTTTGCAGATTATACGACACAGAAGCAGCCTCACGTTCAGCACGTGCTCAATAATGTCAGCAATTATGCTCAGCCAGAACTGCTGACCACCACCAGCCACACTCAGGAGGGACCCAAACGTTCTCCCACCCCGAGCCCTGCGCCTCAGCTCCATCTCTCCAGGCTGCTGAGGGAAGTGGTGGGGCTGGGGGCTGCAGGCGGATGAGCAGCAGGAAAAGGTGCTGGACAGACCTGGGGGAGGCGACGGGCTGCCCATCCCTCTGCCACTCGATGACTGGGGGTGGGAAGCCTTCAGAGCGGCAGCTCAGGCGGACCCGCTGGCCTGGACTGGCATCCACCACCCCAGGCTGGGTCCCATCCAGACGCAGCCTGCAAGACAAGCCGACAGCCTTGAGGGGCCCTCGTCACTGCCTCCCCTTCTCCCTCTCCAGAGTCAGTGTTCTAAAATCAGCCCTTTGCTCTGTTTGGGACACCATCCACAAAGGGAGGAAGGCCTGAAAGCCACCCTGACTTTCTCACCAGGCCCTTGACTTAGGACCCCCCTCAACCCTCCCCATCTCCTCTGAAAACAGAGCTGATCCTCGAGGCCAGCTCTGGGCACCCCTTCCCTGCCCAGCTGCTTAGGGGTGAGGGGCCCCCCTCCTGCCCTCGGGCCCAGCTCAGGGAGTCCTGATTTTCTCATCCTCGCTTCAGAGCCCAGGAAAGCCTGGTCACAGCAGACCCCTTCTCTCACCGAAGGGACCCTGGGCCCTGGCTCAGCGGGAGACGACACTGCTGAGCTGTTACCTGGTTGCAGGTCGTGGCTGTGGAGAGGGGACTACCGCACGTCCCCCTAGGACGGAGTCCCGAGGACCTTGGCCTCGGGCTGGGTCCCTGGTCCCAGAGAAGTGCCTTGGCTCAGTCTCAGATGGCACTGCTATGTCAGCCCCTGTCATGAGGTCAGGAAAAGCCAAGAGTGAGTGCTAGGAGATAGGACTGGAAGGGTGGCCATGAGGCCAGTGTGGACTTGTGGAGAAATTAGGGCCCCAGAGTGGCCCCTGGAGTATATAGTGTAGGGGTGGCCCAGATGCTCCCACCCAATCCCTCCCACACGGGGGCCCGGGCGGGAACAGGGACCTGTGACGTGAAGCTGGATCTTCCGGGAAGCATGGCCAGGCCTGTTGCCGCCACAGGTATAGATGCCAGCATCCTCTGCCCGCAGGGGGCTGATGACCAGGGAGCCGTCAGACTGCAGCTGGTGCCTGACCAGAGGAGGAGCGGAGACAGCGCTCTTGAGCCCGCTCACCCTCTGGGACTGCTGTTGGGAAAGACTCACTGCGCCAGAGGTAACCCATACCTGTCAGAGGAGATGGGCTGGCCATCCTTCTGCCACCCAGCCTGGGATTCCAGGGAGGCATCAGTGGGGCAGAAGAGCTGTATCAACTGCCCCAGGGCTGCCTGCACCATGGAGGGCTCCGAGCCTGCCAAGTTGATCCTGGGGGGTGGGCAGTGAGGAAATGACTACTGACACAAGGGTGAGGATGAGCCCAGGGCCAGGGCCCCCTCTTGAGCACCTCAACAGATGCCTTCTTGGGCCAGAGTCCCACAGGAGGCCAAGCTCCAAAAGCCAGGGGACCCTCCCCACCGTGCCCCTTGCCATTGTCCTTCAAACAGCAACAGCAACAGCAACAAGGAGGGTGCAAAGCCTAGGGGCCGAGGTGGACCACGCACACCAGACTGTGAGGCTGAAACGCACATTGACAGCCCTGTAGCGGAAAGTTTTGGTTGATACATTGAGGAAGTTTGTTTCTCCCTCTCTCCCCCTCCGTGTGTGTGTGTGTATACATGTGTACATATGTGCACAAATGTACAGTACTGAGGATTAAGCCCAGGGTCTTGCACTTGCTAGGCAAGTCTCTGCCACTGTGCTACACCTCCAGACCTTTTTATTTTGAGACAGGGTCTCAATAGGTTGACCAGGCTGGGCTTGAACTTCGATCCTCCTGTCTCAGCTTCCCGAGCAGCTAAGATTACAGGCAAGTACCAGCACACCCAGTTAAGTTTGGGGGTTTAATTTCAATTTTCCAAAATCCCTTATTAACTGACCCAATCCTAAGAAGAATAATGAAGAGAACCCACATCAAATCTATGAACTATGTAGAACAGGAAATAATATCACCATCTTACAGGTCAACTGAGGCTCAGAGAAGCTGGTGACTTGCCAAAGACTATGAAGCCAGTAAGATTTCTGGGCTAGACAGGCCCCAGGGTATGTGGCCAAGATCTGATGGAGAACCCAGGTGCCCACACCCATAGTGCCATCTATGAGATGTCAGACGAGCCTGGCATCTCTAGTCTGTTTCCCACCTGTAGAGTGAAACTAGCAAGGCCCACCAGGCAGGGGCATCCGGGGAATAGCCCTTAGGAGTGGGAGGCAGGGCCGGCTGAGCTGAGCCCTGGCCGGATACCCTATCGCCCTACCTGGGGAAGGGAGGCCTCACCTGTAAGAGGAGCTGGGAGAAGGTGGCACTGGCCATCTGGGGTCTCTGCCCAGTCCTGGGGTCCTGGCTCCAATGTCCTGGCCCTTGGGCCATTCTCCAAAGGCAAGGGTCGGCTGGGCCTCCCCTGGCAAAGGCTCCTGTTCTCTTTGCCGGGGGCCTCCAGAAGATGGCAACAGTCTCTGGTCTGTGTCCCCCGGCCTGTGCCTGCTGATCTCCTGCTGGCCTCTGGGACCACTGCCACGGCCATCTGTGTGGGTGCCCGGGCCAGTGGCCCCAGGGTCGGGGTGGTGGAGCCCATGCTGGGTGCCCCGGCAGCTGCTCATGCACTCCTGTTCTGAGCCAAAGTTGTTGGCATTGCCGTGGCAGCCTCCATACCAGAACCGGTTACACAGGCCCACGGAGGGGATGAAGTACCACCGGGGGGCCCAGTCTGTGCAGGAGCCGAGGGCGCTGGGCAGCAGGCACCGCACTGGGTAGGCTGCGAACACAGGTGGGACTGTCGCCGAGATGGCCAGTGATAAAGTGATATCCACCAACCTTCCACCTCAGATGTACAAGCCACATCCTTCCGAGTTTACAGAGCACGGCTACGCCCTGCATAGGCCCCAACGTGGCTCTAGGGGTCTGTTTACCGCCCAGACTTGGCCTCTGCCCTGAGCTGGAGCCCTCCAGGGGAACAGGCCCAGGGTTCCCTGAGCAAGTAGCCTCGTGTCCCTCACACCCTGGTCCCTGGTGAACACACCCCCAGCAGCGGAGTTTGGCTTTGCTGGGCTCAGCTTATGAAAGGACCTCAGCCCTGAGCCACCCCCACCCCAGGCCTATGCAGATGCCCAGTAAAGGACCCACTCATGTCCCCAGGACCCTGCAGCAGCTCCTCAACCCACCCTGTCTGCCCATTCTCACAGCCCTCCCAGCCAGCCTGCTCCACCTCTCCACATTCAGATGTGACTACTTCTATCCATACCAGTGCCCAACCTCCTCTCCGGCTTTTGATGTCTGTGATGGTTCCTGGCAGCTCCCCTCATGCTCCAGCCTCAGTGACCTCCCCAGCCCAGCCTTCCTTCCTGGGCTCCACTCCTACTGCCCCGCCCACCCCCTGGCAGAGTCAGGACACCGTGGCCACCCCTGGCACTTCCCACCCTGGCACCATCTCTGCTGACTGAGGTGCAGGATGGGCCTTCCCATGATTAGAACCTTCCCAACTCCCACAAGAAGCCAGAAGGCCTCAAGCACAAACAATTCTGGTACAAGAACAAGCCAGCAATGTTCTTGGGCCTGGCATCCAGCAGGCACTCAGGTATCTGTGGGAGAAATGACTCCGCCCACCAGGAAGGATGAGAGGGGCCCACTCACCGGAGCTGGGCTGGCCTGAGCACCCTTCTCCAAGGGGGCCAGCCGCAGAGGCCATGTTGTCATAGCAACAGCCAAACTGGGAGCCCCGACACGCAGCAGGTTCATTCTGCTGGGTCTGGGGCCTGTGGGCTTCGGAGGCCTGGAGAAGAAGCCCAAGGTCGGGAAGTTGGGAATGGGCCTGGCTCCTGGAGAGCACCCTCAGCTGCTTGGGGAGGATGGCAGGAAGGTGCCAAGTCCAAGGTGTGTGACACCAGCTGGAGGAGCCCAGACCCCAGGAGAATGCAGGGTAAAAGCCCTAACCTCAGCCCAGGCCCGTGTCAAGCAGTGAACCCCCAAGAGGGCGGCCCAGACCAGGGGGGCCCTTCCCCAAGGCCAAAGCTGCAAGACCCCGGCCCAGTGGCACCAAGCAGACTCAGGGGCTGCGATCTTTCCTGTCACCTCAGCCACTTACAGTAGAAGGCACTGCCTCGGAGCCCGGTCTCCTCCCAGCATCGTTGCTGCCATAAGACCTCACACAGCCAGCCTGCTGGGGTCCCTTGGCCACAGACACCCCGTCAGGGCAGCACCCATACCTAGGTAGACAGCACACAGCCTCCCTTACTGCCGGCCCGGACCCCAAGCTCCTCTATGGTCCTGCGCGGGGTGACTGCGAGGCCCAACGGAGAGGGTGAGGCCCCCCAGGGACCCCATCCCCGGTACCCTGGGGTCTGCCCTCACCCACCGCCCCTCAGCCTTGAAAACGGACAGATCCTCGACCCCAAAACCAAGAAGGGGGATTCATCTGAACCTGCCCAAGTGTCAGGGTCCCAGAGAGCTTTCGCAAGATAACAGCAGACAGGGCCGAAAAGGCAGCTCAACGGAGCCCACCCCTCATCCCTCCTCCACTGGCCAGCTGTGGGGTAACGGGATGTGGCCAAGCACCTCTGTGTGCCAGTCACCTCGTGATCTACTCCATCCTCACAGTAACCCCAGCCCATGGCTATCACTGTTTGCAATTCTGGGAAGAGGAAGCCAAGATCAGAGAAGTTAAGTGACTTGCCTGACATCACTCAGCACGCAGTGGGTAAATGACAGCTGCCTCATGCTGAAGCTACTAGCCCCAAACCTGGGCCTTAGCACTCCAGTCCCTAAGCGGGACCTGTCCAGGGCAGGCCTTGGAATCAGAGCCACAGGGAGGGCAGTAGGGGTGGGGGGTGGATGGCCCAGCCTTCCAGCATGGCTGCAGTGGGTGGGATTAGTAGAAGGTGGGTGGGAACTGGTCAGCTCTGTCCAGCTCCACGCTGGGTTCTGGGAACCTAGTTTGAGTCTAAGAGCTGGAACCACCCCTCGGGCTCACGGTCTTAAGGCAGGGGCTACGCCCCTGCTTGGCACAAGAGGAAGCTCACTGGGAGGAAGCCAGTCCCCTAAGGTCTCACAACCAGGACAGCTCAGAAACACCTCAAGTCTCAGCCCCAACTGCCAAAGCAGCCCATCCCCTTTCCCAGCAGAGATGTGGGGGCTCCCATCCGCGGGCCCCACCTTCCTTCTGATTACCCCAGCACCCACCTGCTCTGCTGACACCAGACCTCAGTTCTGGGACAGCCTTGCCCTTGGGGCCCAAGTGAGGCTGTGCGGCCATCGGGGCAGCACCCGTAGGGGCCTTGCCTGCAGTCTTGGGCCCCCAAGCCAGACCTTGGGGGCTGCTGCAGAGGTGGGGTTGGGCCTGGAGCTGAAGGTGGTGAGCCGCCGAGTCCCCTGGGTCTATTTGGGACCGAGGGTCGCTGGTCTCTGGAGTCTAGAAAGGGGAAGCAAAACCAGGCCAGTGCGTCCACCCAGCTCCCATGTCCACCTCCCACCCACCTCCTTCCATCCTCCAGGCCCCTCCCCACTGCGCCACCCTTGACTTCCACCTCCAGGTGCCACTCACAGAAAGATAGCAGCCTGGGTGGGAGGCCACTCTGCTCCTCACCTGAGGCGAGGGCCTCCCGAGGGCCCAAAGGCATCCAGGGGCCCCTGGGGTGGGCATGCGAGTCCTGCACACTTGGGACCTCTGCAGGGAATGAGGGCAATGGAGATGGAGGGCAGAGCCCAGCACAAAGAATACAGACAAATTCAGCATCCCCACTGCACAGGTGCTACATGGACTTTATTTCCTGATACTGGGATTGAATGCAGGGAACACTGAGCTACATCTCCAGTCCTCTTTTTTGAGACAGCCTTTCACTATGTAGCGCAGGCTGACCGCAAACTTGTGACCCTCCTGCCTCAGTCTCCCAAGTAGCTACAGTCCACTGCACTGGGCTTCAGCCACCTTATTTTTTTTCCAGTACTGGGGACTGAACTCAGAGCCTTCATACTGAGACTACATCCCCAGCCCTTTTTATTTTTTACATGGAGACAGAGGCTTGCTAGGTACCAAGCTGTCCAGACTGGGCTTAAACTTGCAATCCTTCTGCCTCAGCCCAAGCAGCTGAGATTACACTGGGCTTTAGCCAGCTCAAATTTAAAGGCATCTCTGCCCAGCCTCTCCTGCCCTCTAGCCCCATCACGTGACTTTACTTCAGGTTTAACTCAATTTCGCATACCCTCTGGATGACAGGCCCTGCCAGGCTGGTGCCTGCCCCTTTATTCCCTGGGCCTGCCACATGCTAAGTCTCCTACCCTTTCTAGTCCTTGAGCTCCTGCCACCTGCTCCCACAGCTCCTGCATCCTACCTGCCTCCACTGCAGCCCGACTCTCAGGCATGAGCCAAATTTGTTGTAAATAGCTTGTGAGGTGTTGCTCTAGCTCCAAACCACCAGTGGCTCCCCTGGGCCTCTGAACCCCCCCCTAGCATCCACCCAGTCCTCCAAGTTCCACCCTCATGGCCTGGGCTGAAGGACAGTCCTGGGCCCTTACTGGTCTCAGAGCCTCTGAGCACAGGAAATGTGGATAGAGTGACCGAGTGAACTGAGTCTTCAATTCTATTTAATTGCAAACAACTAAATTTTATATTTAAAATTTCATGTTTGTTTATTGGAAAACAATCAAGTATGGAATAACCTGGGTATGTGAATCTATTTTTTCAACTGCAAATTTCATGAAATCTAAATATAGATTGAATATTTTGGTGAAAATTTAGCATCTGGATCGAGATTTGTTATAATTATATACTGTGTTGAGTTCAAAGACTTCACTTTCAAGAATCTTGTAAAAGAATACAGAATATATAAAAACGTATGCTGACAACATATTGAAAATATATTGGGTGAAATAAAATATATTCTTAAATATAAATTCACTTTTTATTTTTCTGCAGGGCTGGAGATAAACTCAGGCCCTCACACATGCTAGATAAGCACTGTACTACTGAACACATCCCTAACCAACCCTTATTTATTTTTTTGGTACCAGGGATCGAACTCAGGTCCTTGTGCTTGGTGCAGCAGGTGGCAAAACCACTGAGCTAAATCCCCGGCCCCAACCCTTACTTTTTAAATATGGCTCTAAAAAACCTGAAATGACATGTGACTTATATTCCACTTCCTTTGGGATACTAGGCGAAGGTTGTGAATGAAAAGGACTCCACAGGATGTCCCCAGGACACCCCTTAGCGGGCTCCTCAGAAGGCCCTGTGCCCCACACAGCTCCCCTTCCCCCTGACGCCTACAGTATGCCCTGGACCACACTTCACAGTGCCAAAAACCACCTAAATTCTACATGACTACCTCTCGTGGACTTGTGCGAAAGCCCTAGCAACCAAGAGACAGGGAAATGTTCAGGCACAGAATAGAAGGAAGGGGAAGAAGCAGATACAAAATTATAGAAATGTTACAGGAAAACACACTAAAGACTAATCTGAGTAACTGATGAGATTAAAGGCAACTATAAGTCTCTATTTAGTACGAGCTCAGACCTCTGAGTTTTCCACACTGAATCTATGTCACATTTAGACTTATAAAAGTAGCAGTGGAGGTTACTTCTCTTGCATCTTATCCTGGCCCGAGACTCCCTTTTCCCTTTCCCACCCTCCTGTGAGAGTCTTGCTGCCCTCTGAGGCAAATGCAAGACCACCTCTTCCAGGATGGCAGTAAGGTCCTGGGCAGCCAAGTGGCCCCGCTGGTGCCCAACCTGGGAATCCAAGGACCTTCTTGCTGGTGAGGCCCCAGGCTCTCAGATGGTCCCTGAGGCCAAGCTCAGGCAGGCTCCTCACCACCACTTTCCACCCTTTTCCACCCAGCATTCCCTGTGCCCGGGCACTGGGCCCTGGGACCCACTCTGAGCCAGGGTCATCACACCTATCCACCACTGAGCCAGTGGACAAGCAGAAGCAGGGAGGGGAGGCACATAGGGTCAGGAAACTCATCAGCCATGGAGTGGATTTGAAGCTAAGCCTGCTGCTGACCCTGAGGTACTGGTTCTTGACCATTCTGCCCCCTGCCTCCTTTGGAATTCTGATGTCCCCCACCTCAAGGTCCTACAGCTCAAAGCCCCATCACCAGCACTTCAAGGCCAAACACACCTTACCGCAGTATAAGAAGCTCACCCGCCCATACCTAAAGCACAGCCATAATCCACACCCTCAGCATCACAGCTGCGCACCAGCCAAACGCCGGCCTCTGTGCCCCCTGCAAATCCTCAGGCCTCTGCTCCCAGCAGACGGGATAAAAGGAGTGGGGAGACCCCTCTGCCCTCAGTCTTTCAACAAACAATAGCTGAGCCACTTACAATTTGTGCTAGGGTTGTTCTGTGGGGGGATACATGGAGCAGCAGGGACACTGTGGGCCCAGCCCTCAGAAGCTCACAGCTGCTAGGCCTAGTAAGCCCTGAGCAACCCCGACAGCACAGTAAACTAATCAGCGACACAGAAATGGGACATGCTGGGGGCAGGAGTCAAGGGGAAGATGCCTCTGAGCCGAGGACAGCAGGGCCAGCTTGCAAGGTTGCAGAGAAGACGGACTTTGCCACAGCAAAGGCTTCAGCAACAGATGGAGGAGAAGAGGGGTCAGAGGCCTGGCACCTCAGGGACAAAGGCCCCAAACAGCAAGTGCCTGCTTGGTTTGCAGGGAGGGGGAAAGGGGCGTGTGTGGGCTCCAGCCCGTCCTCACCCTGAGGAAGATGGCAGGGCTGCATGTTACAGAGCTCCACATCCCTGGGCTTCGACTGCTGCAGGTTCCTACAGTGGTTGGGTGGCCCGATGGCACAGATGACCTGTCGCCTCCGAATGCCTGAGCTGCAGCTCTTGGAGCACTGAGGTCAATGGGTGGGGGTGGGAGAGAGTGATCTGAGACCAGAACACCCAAAGGAAGAGGGACGGGGAAGGTGGCCCATGACACATTCAGATCCCTGACGGGTGCATGTGCAGTCACCTGCCCGAGGTGCCAGTCTGGGCAGCAGGAATGGAGAGAGAGGGACAAGCACTCACTAAACCCCAGGCGCTGACACGCCAGGCCTGGTCACTGAGGGGACAGGCTGCTTGCACACAGGTCTCCATGAGGGGGGGTCGGTCCTCCAAGGAACAGGCAGAGGCAGGGAACAGGGACCCTTCGTCACCCAGACAAGTCACACTCCGCCTTCGGATGCCAGCACCGCAGGTGACAGAACACTGCAAGAGCCAGCTGTCAGCAGGATCTCATCCCAGCCCAGAGGCGCCACAGCTGGAGGCCCACTAGCCTGGCACGAAGGGCAGACCGCATCCTACTGCTGGGACCCGCCCCCAGCCCCGGAGAGGCTGTGTCACACCGCCTGGACACGGTGGCAGACATGAGATGGAGGGTATCGTGCCTTCATTCATAACTGGAACAAGCGCAGATGCTGGAAGCAATGACCAACAGCTCCAGCCAGCGCCAGTGCCTGCGTCACCACCAAACACCCTGCCCTGCTGCTTCTTCAAACCAAGGCAAGGTCTTAGGACCTTGGAGAAGAGCGAAAGCTCTGGACCAGGGGTCCAGGACCTAACTTGCCTCTAGTCCCAGCCTTGGCCACAGCTTCCAAGATGACCAGCTAGGTCCCTTCACCTCCCTCAACCTCAGTTTCCACACAGAGGACAGACCCTAAGCCTGGCCCTGCTGCCTCTAGAGCCCATATCCAGCTCCTTGATCCCACCCCAACCCGGCCTAGGCAGGGCCTCACCTCTTCCCAGGGCCCGGCGCTCCAGGCTGCGCAGCGCTGCAGGTTGCAAGCCTGTGTGGAAGGGGGCTTCCCGGGCAGGCCGGCACACTCAGCCTCCTCAGCAGCCTCCTGGCCTCCAGCGCCATCAGATGAGACACAGTAGACCGAGCGGGACTGGAAGCCGCCCCCGCAGGTGGCAGAGCAGGGTGCCCACAGCCCTACCTTCCAGCTGGTGAGGAATGGGGTTCAGGTCAGGCCAGCCGGGAGCAGCAGCCCACCCTCTGAACATCCAGGCTGTGCAGCGAGCCAAAGAGCTCTGCACAGAGCATGGCGCCTCCTCCACATCCTCCCAATGGCTGCATGGCCATCTGAGGGGCGGGGTCCTTACAATTCAGAACCAGCTGCTGCCCCTCAGCTTTCTTATCCTCACCCCAATCCCCTTTTGCCCTCTCACTGGGCTCCCTTTCTCCAAGCCAGACCCCATTCCCACTGGGTCCAACCTGGACAGGGACAGCTCCAGAGGGGTGTGCAGCCCTGTGCATGGAAGAGCCCTGCCTGGCACCAGGGGCAAAAACCGGAAGGGCAGCCCCCACCACACCATGCACAGCCACGCCCACCACCAGCCACAAGGCTGCTGCTGCCAAGGCCGGCCGAGCAGATTACCTGTTCCCACACACATGCTGGACCCCAGCATGGCGCCACGCTCCGGGCCGGTACAGGTAAGAGGTCCTTTGTGCACGAACAAAGGCATTGCCGATGTCGACACGCCCTTGGCCAGATCCCTGGCTCGCCCCTTGGCCTGTGCCGAGCCAAGCCCCCTGCTGGCTCAGACCAGGACTCCTGGTACCGTTCCCAACCGTCCCACCAGCAACCTGGACATTCCGAGTACTGCATGGACACTCGAGGGTGGAGAGGGTAGCCCTAGGCCCTCATGCTCGAGCCCCTTTGCTGCCTTCCTCAGTGACAGCTACCACCCACCCACCCTAGCCACCCATCCCACAGCCACAGCTGTGGGGAGCCCCGGTACCCCAACCTCCTCACTGTACTTCTAAAGCAGCTTCAAGACATCTTCTCTTCCCACCCCACCCCTGCCCACGCCAGCACAGGTGGAAGGGGCTGGCAAGAGCCTCACCGCTTGGTCTGCGGGCAAGGGTGGGAGTTGCAGGGGCGGCGGTCAGCTGGCCGAGGCTGGCGCTGGCACATGTGGTAGGGGTAGGGCTCGCTGTCGCTGGTGCAGAACACCAGGCGGGACTGGTGGCCTGTGCAGGGATCAGGCCACAGAGCAGCTGGTCAGTCAGCCCTCTCCAAACACATGCTCTAGGCCAGGCGCTGTTCTGGCCTCAGCCCAATATCACCCTGGTTAAGCCTCAGACAACCCTCTGAGGTAGGTGCCACCATCAACCCATTTACCGATGACGAAACTGAGCCTCGGAGCATTTCCGCTATGAGTGACAGAGTTCTGTCTAACCCCAGTCACCAGCTCCAGGCCTGGCCTCCACTCCCAGTGGAGTGCTGTCTGCTGGGAGACACCACTCCTGCTTGGATGCCTGCCCTCTTAGCTTAGGTTGGGTCCTCCACGGTGTCCCCACACCCTAGTCTCCCCCAAGGTGACCCCATGACAGATTTCTCACCTACTTGCCCCCTTCCCTGGTAGCGCAGCCTTGAGGAGAGGGCTGTGCCTTCCCCACACCTGATCGAGCCACCCCCCCCCCCACCCCGGGCTGCCAGGGGCCTCACCTCCACCACACTCCACGCTGCAGTCACCCCACGAGGTATGACTCCAGCTGAAGCCCTGGCTGGACCCAGGGCCACGCAGGGGCAGGTAGTACTCGTAGTGCACACCGGGGTTGGCCTCCTGGCTGATGAGCTGCCGAAAGGGGTCCTCTGAGGTCAGCCTTACCCCATAGCCCCCCGGCCACCTATGCACAGGGCTTGGTGACTTATCAGGGGCTCCCAGCTTCCCACCACCCTCTCACCTCGATAATCAGGGGCTCCGACGTGGGGCCCCGGGCCTGGAGCCGCTCAGGGGCCAAGTCGCCGTCGGCACCCCGTTCGTAGTGCAGGATGGTGCTGGCCACTGGCAGGGCCCTGGGCTCCGAGATGGCCCAGTGCCCATTGAGGTAGTACTCCCCACGGACGCTCCTCACGGCTGTGCAGGACAATGGCAGAGTTGGGGGAGGGTGGACCCCAGGCAGCCCAAACTCTCCCGCACCCGGACCACAGCCTCACCCAGGAAGTTCCTGCTGGCCGCAGACTCCTCAATGTGGATGCTGGTCGCCCCGGCAGGAATGATGAAAATCCGGTTGTAGCCTGATGAGGCCAGACATTCAGGTTGGCGGTGTGTGACCAAGCTGCCCTCCCCCAGCACCATTCAGCACTGGAAGGAGTTGTCCCTGAGGACTCGTAAGTGCCACACAGCACAGAAGGGGGACGGGTGGGAGACTAGTGGCAGGGCTGGGCTGCTTGGGGACCGGCGTCCCAGGCAGACCAAACCTAGCAGACCTTTGCTCTGCAAAGGCCTGAGAGGCAGGAAGCCTCAGGGCATCCAGAACAGGCTGGGAGGAAGCAGGGTCAGGATGGGGACCAGGGGAAGGGGCGAGGCGGGATAATCAGGTGGTGGCAGTGCGAGATTAGACTGGACCAGGGCCCCGACTGACAAAGGCACGTGGGCCCCTGTGAAGAGGGCGGCCTCCACCCTGTGGCTGTCCCCAGCCAACAGACCCCCAGGTGCCACAGGGGCCACTCAGCCTTAAGCCTTGGCCAGAGAAGGAGACAGGTGCACAGGAGGCGGGCCACAGGCCCTGGCAGGGCCCCTACCTCTACTGAGGTCATTGGCATCAAAGGTGCCTGTGACCGAGTAGCAGGCTGTGCCGTCCCCGCCGCACTGCAGACACTTGTCCTCCTCCTTGGATGAGTCCAGCTCGTGGTCACAGCCAACAACCTGCCGGAGAAGGACGAAAGATGAGAGCGTGAAGGCACAGAGCAGGGGGGAGATGAGGACCCAGCAGCCGCAGGCTCCAGGCAGGACAGGGTGCCAGGATTATTCGGCAGCAAGCTGGGCAGGTGAGCAAAACTTGGGCCTGTCTGTGTGGCCCCCACATCCTTCTCTGATAAGCACACACCCCTCTTCCAGAGGCCCCTTCTCCCCCTCAGCCTAGATGGTCCCCCAGCTGAGTTTGGGACAATCAGCAGGCGTTTTGTTTCCTCAAATCAGGTGAGGCCAAGGCAGGTGAGGGGCGCCCCAGGCTCTGGGGACTCCTGGGAGCCAGCCCTTGCCAGGCCGCTTCAGCAGAGGCCTGGAGCTGCCATCTTGTCACACCTCATAGGTGTGACAGGAAGAACCTGCCCGAACCTGGTGCTGACCAGAAGGGAGTAAAGCAAGAGGCAAGGAGAGAGGAGTTTCTAGCAGCAGCATCCAAGCACCTGAAGCCATCCTTTAATGTCTGGTTTTCACTGCAGGCAAGTTTTAGTTAGGTTGCAACAACATGCCACCCACAGAGTTTCTTTTACAAGGTTAGCATTCTCAAAGAGCACAGTGAGAGGGTCAGAGGGCAGCTGTCATGGCTGCAGGGCATCCTAGGAGCTAGGCTGGGCATCTGGTAACTTGGGGTGACCCCTCCCCAGAGCAGCGGAGGGACATCACTCACCCGGCAGCGGCCATCCACACAGACATCACGTCCACTGGGCTCACAGGGCGTCCCGTCCAGCACAGCCTCCTGGTGCTTATAGTAGAAGTTCTCCCCCTCGGGGATGCAGTTCAGCTCACACTTGTTTGGGGCTGGGGTGGGCAAGAGGAAGGAACTGAGGCCAGGGGCCAAGGCATAGCCTAGCAGCAGGGACGCAGGGGCCAGAAGCACATTTGCGACTGGGAGAAAAGGCCCTTGTAGCAGCTGCCCCCATCAGGTGCCACAGAACCCCACCTCATCTCAAGGAGAAGGGATACTGTCCACAGTAGGGCTGTATCTCTGGGGACCGAGTCAAAGAAATCCCAGAATGGTGGACAAACGTACAGTTAAAAAGGCCTAGCCTAACATTAAGTACAATAGTGCAGGTGTTCACAACAGGCTACCCTGAATCATCAACAGGGCATCACGCATGGTGGCCATGGAGTTAAGATGACGACAAAGAATGTACATTTGCGTGGGAAGACGCTCATGACAGAATGCAGAATGGTGATAACTAGGCTAAGCACAGAGAAAATGTGGACAGGGTCAGGATGAAAGGCCAACAGTGATCCTGCGAGATACGTAGGGTTAGGGTGACTTTTTTCTTCTATTTATTTTTCTTATTTTTACTTACTTATGGTACTAGGAGCTGAACCCACAGCCTTCACATTGAGCTACATTCCCAGCCCTTTTTAACTTTTTCAGACAGATCTCAATAACTCACTGAGTCACAGAAATTGGGCTTAAACTCTCAATTCTCCTGCCTGAGCTTCCCAGAATGCTGGGATTACAGGCATGTGTCACCACACCAGGCTTCTTCTTGGTGTAATCAATATACAAGTATCATGTACACACAGCCCAAGAGGGCCCGGCGTGGTGACACGTGTCTATAATCCCAGCACTGAGGCGGCTGAGGCAGGGTTGTGAGGCTGGCCTCCTTTACACAGTGAATCCAAAGCCAGCCTGAAGTACACAGGGAGCCCCTATCCCAAAAAACCAGATACACACACACAGAGGCCCAGAGTGCTAACCGGTTCATAATTAACTCTGGAGCAAGGCAGGCACACCTCAACTACTCTTTTTAGCCTTTCTCTTGTGTTCCAACTTCTATATGATGTGGATATATAAAAATTATTTTTTAACAGCAGGCTCCAGGAGGAGTATTGAAGGGGCCCGCTGGGGCAACCCGTACTGGCTAAGGAACCGCCCAACACACACAGGAGCATGCTCATTGGTTAGGAATCCAGAGCCCCCAGGAGTCACTGGCATGGAGCAGCCCAGTGCACGTACGTCGGTGGTTTTTCCTGAACCATATTTCCCTAACATCCATGACCTCCCAGAGCTGGGTGCATGGAATCTCACCAGCCCCAGATACATCCAGGCCCCTCCTGCAGTTCGCCACACTGCATGCCAACCCCACCTTTGGCTCCCTCCTGGGCCCCGTTCAAGGAAGGATCCTTGAGGGCAGGCAAAACAAAATCCGGGCTCAAACTAGCTCAGATGGCCAGAGGTTTGAGAAAATGCGTCCACAGGGGGCAAGGCCCTGAAGACCTCAGCGTGGCCACTGTCGCAGTGTGACGGGCACGTGCTCAGGGCCCTGGCAACAAGGCGCCGATCACAGGTCCGTCCGTGTCGCTCACCGCCATAGTAGGGCAGCCACCTGTACTGCCGGCCATGGAACAAGGCACCGTCCAGCTCCGCGCACTGCTCGGCCCTGAAGTCCCGCGCGCCGTTGGAGCAGCTCTGCACAGCACGGCGGAAAGTGGGTCCCAAGCAAGAGCCCCCGGAGAGGTCGGGATCCTGCCCACCCCCTCCTTTCCCACCCCAGAACCAGGGTCTCTACCTCTGCACCCCACCCACCCGACCCAAGGGTGGGCACCGGGCGCCGGCCTCACCTCAGTGTGGCAAGTGCGATGGCTCCGGGCGGGGCCCACGCAGCTGGTGACTCCATCCTTCCTGCGGAGCGAGAGCGCTGGAAGACCCTGCATCCCTGCCCCCCTGGGGCTCTCCTTCAGGCTCCCCAGCTTTGGTGAGGCTCCCAGGTGGGCAAGGGGAAAACGGAGTGAGCTCACATGCATCCCCCTGGGTGGGTGTCAGTAGCCCCATGTCTACTCGGGAGAAGCCGTTCAGAAGCCTCACCACCCTGAAGTTTGCCCAACTCAGGGCCACTCTGCCTCTGAAAGCAATTTTCCAGAGAAGAGCCGAATTCTGCCCTTGGAGCTGAGAGCCAATACATACTCACCTGTAGGATGGGTCTGCGATGTCAGCAGCAAATAAGTATAAGGCACTTAGAATAAGCTCTCCTCTCTCGCCCTCCTCTCCCAAACAGTGAGCTCAGAAAGGCGCCTCGTTACCTTTTGTACCCCACCCCTCCGTGGAAGCTGTCAGGTGCAGAGCTCGAAGTGCGTGCTTAACAAATCACTCGAGTGGGAAACACCTACACTTAAAGCGGTGGAGGGCAAAGCGGCTGCTCGAATTAGGAATTGCTGAGGGTCATTTACTCCACCACACCTGCCTCGTGCCTGCACCACGTCAGCAACCAGATTCAGGTGCAGGACGCACATGCTCCAGCTCTTCCCATCCGGGCCGAGCTCAGGTGTAAGTGTGTGACAAAGGAGTTGCTTCCCTACACTCTTCTGATGCTGCTTCCAGAATGTGTCACTGGGTGGCCAGGTGCACCTAACCCCAGACCCAGCAGCCAGACTGCCTTGTACCCACCTCTTTTTAACCCGCTGGCCCCTTCTAGTCCACCCTACCTCTGGGAGTAGCAGGGCCGCTCCCGGAAGCTGATGCCCCCTCCGCAGGTCCGGCTGCAGGGGCTCCACTCACCCCAGGGGCCCCAGGTGTCACTCTGCGGCCGAGCCTCAGGAGCCTGCAGGAGATGCGTCAGGGTTTGAGCCCAGAGCCCCCACCAGGGCCCGCTGCCTACAAACACCCCTCCTCAGTTCAAGGGGCCGAGTCTCCCTTCTGGAACTACCCTTTCAGGACCCCACAACTCCACCAGGCACCCCAAGGTGTTCATTCACAAAATTAGCCAGTTTTCACCACGAGGAGCTGAGAGCTCAGCCTGGGGCATGAAAGGGACAAGGCAGCCAGAAAGATCCGAAGTTACAGGAGCCGCCAGGAGGGGCTTTACACCCAGGGCACAGAGCCCAGGCACTTTTAGTCAAAGCTAAGGCAGGGAAGACCCTAAAAGGAAAGGAAAGCAACAGAGGTCAGGGCACACAGCCTGGTGACTTTTGGCCAGTCACCCAATTGCTCAGCTGTGGTTTTCTCATCTGGCAAAGTAGCCACCATCAGCGGTGCCTCTTGAGTTCCTGGACTTGCCACGCACGATGCGGAGGTTGCCAGGCTGGAGCAGGGGCTTTCTCTGGCCTATTAAACTAGCAATTTAATCTAATCCTACATGGGAGAAGGGGACGCTGGTCCCTTCCTGCTGACCTGGGGCAGAGACTCCCGGGTGCCCCAATATTATCCCCCTTTCCCATCCTTATCTCTCAGACTTGACTTAGCTTCCTGCAACGAACCGTGGCACCATCACTAAGTTCTCATCAGCGACTGGAAACAGAGTTGGGCAGCAGTCTCTGCTAATCTCCTAAAGCAGGGGTTCCCAGCAGGGGGATGCTGGTGGCCAACACAGTGGCTGCCCTGCCCTGGAGTCCACTTGCCCCGCCCTGGCAGGGTGAGGTGGGGGGTGCAGCCTGGATTCTGACTCTCTGGAGCAGAGCCCCCAGCCGGAAGCCTGGCAGGCATCCTCCTGGCCCTGCGCCAGGCTGCAAGAGGCATTGTGAGGCCGGCATCTCGGAGCCCTATACAGTGTGGTCCTAAATCTGTTCTGCACGCCTCTCCGCACCACGTCTCCACAGAAGGAAACCCGTTCAGTCTCGGGCAGCGCGGGAACAGTTTGTTCCCTGTAATTACACAAACCATGATGCATGGTGGTGTGAAGCCAGGAGCTGCCGCAGCCCCACCTCGCCCAGCCCAGCCTGTCCCTGCCTGTTCCCATCTGCAGCAACCCTGAAGCCCCCTTTCTGCTGCGCTGTTTCCAGGGGGTCGGCTGCCCACTGTGCTGGGAGCGCCTCACTGGCGCAGTGCCTCCCATAGTCCACTTGTTCTGGGCAGCACCCACAGAGAGCCCCAAAAGGCGCTAAAGGATCCCTCGGTGGGCTCCACCTAGGACCAGGAAGGAGGCAGCTGAGCTGCAGCCTGGGTCACACCCCTTCCACCATGCAGGGAAGGGGAGTGAGAGTCTCAGCCACACTGGAGGGGAGGAGGCAGGAGAAGACTACTTGAGCCTTGGCTGCTTATAAGCGAGAAGGGAACCCAATAGAATTCAGGGTGCTTTACTGGTGGGGGCAGTACTGAGGAGTGAACCCAGAGCCTTTGCACTGGGCTACACCTCCAGCCATTTTTTTTTTTTGGTACCAGGGATCTAACTCGGGTCCTTGTGCTTCCGAGGCAGGCGACAAAACCACTGAGCTAAATCCCTGGCCTGAAAACTTTTTTTTTTTTTTTTTTTTGGTACCGGGGATTGAACTCCGGTCCTTGCGCTTGTGCAGCAGGCGTTGAAACCACTGAGCTAAATCCCCGGCTCCAGCCATTTTTTGTTTTGAGATGAGGTCTGGCAAAGTTGCCCAGGCTGGGCTTGAACTTGCCATCCTCTTGCCTCAGCCTCCCAGAGTGGCTAGCTTGGAAGGCTTTGTAAGCCTTGATTAATTTCATCTCTGCAACAGCATGTTGCATTGAAACTCCCACATTAGAGGAATCTACAGCTTGGTGAATGCAGCTGTTTGAGGAGCTCTGGATTTCATTGTGGGGTCTCAATGCCATCACCATGCCCTCCCCCCACAGGGGCTGGGGCACCAGCACGTAGGGAAGAAGCTCAAAGGGAGGCACCCAGGGAGGAGGGCCGAAGTGGGGCATGGACTGTCCACGAGGGAGGATGGCTGTAGTCCACCTGCTGCCCCGACTGTGGGCTTCGTTGGACCCACAGACTCTTGGAGGACTGCCCCGTGCCCACCACTGACACCCACCCCTGCCTCCCCTTCTCCCTCCACCTGCATTTCCACAGAGGTGGCATTGCTCCCTGCCCCCCTGATAGCACACCACTGTGGTCCTTCCTCTTTCACTGGTGCACACCTCAGAGGCTGGGTGGCCGTGACCTACCTGACCCCAGGGAGAGCTCTCCAGGGGCAGCCTCATCCCAGCAGCACCCAGCTCTGCAGATTCTGCAGCCTACGACACTCCCTGCACAGCCTTAGGGCTCAGGTGTCCCCTCCAGGTGTCCTTTAGACCCCTGCTAAGGAGACAGCTACTCTGGCTGCCAGTTGGTTCCCTGTATCCACTAAATTTGTAAAATATCATAACCAGTAGCCACATGTGACTATTTAAGTTAATAAAAACAAATTAAATTTTTTAATTCCTTGGTTGCACTGGCCACATTTTAAGTGCTCGATAGCCACAGTGGACCTAGTGGCTGCTTACTGTGCAGCAGAGAGGCAGATGATGTGGTTTCCATCATCTCAGAAGGTTCCCCTGGACAGTCCTGCTTGGATGGTGACCCCAGAGGAAAGCAGGTGACAGGCTCCCCAACCCTCCAGGCCCAAACACCACCGTGAGCGGCAGCCATATCTGGCTCTTGGCAGGTGTCTCGTGGAATGGACCTTCGTTGACCCAGCACTGCCCCCACCTGTCTCTTCCTTGGAAAGCCACCATGGTGGGCCGGCGATTTAGCTCAGTGGTGCTGCCTGCCTCGAAAGCGCAAGGTCTTGAGTTCGATCTCCGGTATCAAAAAAAAGGAAAACCACCGTGGGTAGGGGGTTCGGCAGCATTAGCCAAGGCCCAGCAGAAGGGTGCCCACCACCCTCTGAAGGGGGCGCCCCTGCAGCTGGGCACGCAGTTCTGGACACCAGGGCCAGACGGCTGCAAGGTCCCAGGGCTTCTGAAGGAGCTGGAAGCAGCGCCGCTCTCCTCTTACTCATCTTCCCCGGCACCGCCCCTCTTCCGGGGATGTTGCTGCCCCACCCTGGGCTCCAGAAGGCAGCTTGCACCAGGCTCCACCCCGCCTCCCTGCAGAGAGCTGGCTGCACTCACCGAGGACCCGGACGCCGAAGCCAGCAGGAGGGGCAAGAGCAGGAACAGCCGCATCTCCGCCTGTGCCTGCGGGAGAAGTGGGGTTAGATCTGTGGCGGGCAGGTCACCCCGCCACACACCCCGCCCGCCCGCCTCAGCCCCAGGGCTCTGGCAGCAGCCTTGAGCGCTCGTGCCAGGTGTGCGGGCGTCACCCTCCCTCTCGTGGCCCACGGGTGACCCAGGGACCCGCTCAGGAGCTCCGGGTGCACAGGAGGGAACGCGCATACGGCCGCGCCACTCACAGGGGTGGGAAAGCAAGCGCCCCTCCACAACCGGCAGACGTGCAGGAACAACTTGTTTCAAGGTTCCAGAGGAAAAAAGAGACAGGGCACTTATAAATTGTCGGAAAACATGGAGTTCAGAACCAAAGCGGGCAGACACTTAAATTCAGCAAGGTATTCCCTTTACAAAAGTCATTTCATAGTTGTCTTTGAGCTCCTGATAAAAAGTAGATTTATAAAGCCGTTTTAGCACTAAAATAGATTTTTAAAAATGAAACTCTCTGACAATATTTTTTGTTGGTGGTGGTGTTTTTGAGACTGGGTCTTGCTAGACAGTTCAGGCTGGTCTTGAACTCACTATGTAGCCCAGGTTGGCCTCCAATGTAGCAATACTCCTGCCTCAGCCTCCCGCGTGCTAGGATTACAGGCCTGTGCCCACCTGAAAATAATTTTAAAATTAAACTTAAAAAAAATGTTAGTGGGCGACTCCAGAGGCTGAAGCAGGAGGAACATGAGTTCGATGCGAACGTAGGCCACTTAGTAAGATTCAAAATAATTTTTTAAAGGCTGGAGATGTAACTCTGTGGTAGAGCGCCCGTGGGTTCAATCCACAGTACGTTAAAACTAAAAAGTAATTGGGGACGGGGATTTAGCTCAGTGGCACCGCACAAAGTCCTGAGTTCAATCCCGGTACAGCAAAAAACAAAACAAAACCAAACAAACCCAACTACAAAGTAATTGTATCTACTTAAACCAGCAGGGAAGCTGCCCTGGGAAGCTCCGCCATCAATCAGCAGGCTCCACAACCCGTGTGTGTACCGGGTACTCGTGTGGTGTGCACGCGTTCAGTGCAGGGTGCGCGCGGTGTGGCGTGTGTGGGTTCACACGCACCCGCTGCAGTGTGCGCGTCACTGGGCCAGAAACGCAGAGCAGCGCGCGCCCCTCAGTACAAACTAAACAAGCACTGACTTGTGTGTCTACATTTTAAATGTGCAGTTCTACCAGTGTCCTAATTGTTTTTAAAGTATAAAATGACCAGATTACAAGGATAAAACAGCATAAGCCAAGTTTAGCTAAATCTACCCTGGCACATTTATCGACCGACGTGCGCCTGGGTTACTTTGGCACAGCGACTCACTTCGTCGTTATTTTCAGGGGTCTTGGCCTAGGGCTGACAGGGACAAGCCTTCAGGGGCGGGTGACCATAGCTAAGGCACAGGTCGAAGAAAGGACAGGAAAAAAAGAACTGCTCCCTACACTGCCGTCGCCACTTCAATGGCGCTGGACGGCGATCCCAGGTCCGCAGTTCCAGAATGCCGCGAGCCTGCGAAGTTCGGCTTTTTTCCCACTCGACTGGTGACAAACAGCGCGCGCGGCTCCAGCGCCACCGCTGGGTCTGGGCACCGGGCTCTCCCGCGGGCCTCGCCTTCCGCCCGCAGCCCGGACGCGGGGCGCCTCTCGGGCTCCCCGGGGCTCCGGACACAGGCGGAGGCGGGGTCGACAAGGGTGCAGGCCAGGGCTCGCGCCTAGGGGGCGCCGCACCCTGCACTGTCCCCAGAAGACGCGAGGACACCGGGGCAGACGCGGCACCATCCCCCGCGTCAGCCTCGGCCTGACCGGGACCGCGTCCCCACCTGGGACCCCGCCCGAGGGCGCAGAGGTGCGACGTCGGCAGGGGTGGCCGCGGCGGCGCGTCTGGAGCGGGCGCGCTCGGCTCCGGGTCTCCGGTCCCACCGGCCCCGCTCCGCCGCGCCGCTCTCCGCGTCTCCTCGCCGGCGACCTGCACCTGGGCCGACGGTGGCTGAGCGCTCACCTCGCTGCACGCGGCCTCGGCGGCTCCCACGTTCTCGGACCCCGCAGTGGCCGCGAGCCGAGCCGGGCGGGCGAATCCCTGCGACAGCCGAGTGAGCCCCGCCCGAGCCCGCCTTCACCCTCGCCGACCTACCTGTGTCTGCTTGCGCCGCGGCCAGGAGCGCTCTGCGCGTCTGCACGGCCCGGCCCGCCCGAGGTCAACCCCAACCGCCCGCCCTAGAGGTTGGACTTTATCTCCCCGCCCCGTCTTCCCCCCACCCAGCGCAGCTGACACCAATCCCCGTGGGCGGGCAGTGCCCCGCAGGACGGCCCCTGCAGTGACCCGCCTGGCCTGTGCCCCTGCCCCGTTGGGTTCGTGCCATGCTTGGCTTATCCTCCACTCCGTGGGCTCCCAGGTGATTCCTGGCTTGGGTCTGAGCTGGCAACCTCATCAGTCCCGTTCCCTTCGCCCCAGCCCTCCTGTTTGCCATACCCCCTCACACATACACCTACCTGAACCTCCTCGCATATCCAGGGCCTCCTTGTCTTCCACTTGAGTCTATACTTCAGTCACAGCTGAGTTTCTCCACATACATCACCCTGCCTCTGGCAGCTTTTCCCACGGCCTAGCATCCCCGACCATCCTAACTCCTACTCATCCCTCAAAACCCCGACAACTTGCACCTTCTTTTGAAGCCTCCCCCACACCACCCCAGGCAGAGGTGTTGCACACCCTGCTTCCTCAGCGGCTGCCTACCCAATGTAGTTGTGAGCTGCATCGCACAGCTAAAAGTTCCCAGAGGGTAAGACCTGCATCCCCCATCACCTGTGCCCAGATAACTGGCAACAAGATAGATAATAAAGGTGGTAAATGTAATTCCTTTTCCTAGTTGGCCTGTTTTTTTCTCAACCAAGGCACTCCTTCCTGCCTTGCCTGCCAACTCTTTTCTGAAACTAGAATTCACCTCTCTAAGAAAATGGGCCCTGGGCTTGTGGAGGTAGGAAGATGACAAGGGCTGGTCCCCTCCCCCTCCTCTTCTGCCTTTGGCCCCTTGCTGGCCCTGAAAAGATACCAGCCCTGGACACGGAACCCTCACTAGTCATAAACCCCTCCAGCCAGGCCGGCTCTTACCTAGAGCGCAGAGAGGAGGGGCAGCAGCTGTGTCTCAGGGGCCCCTGCAGAGCTCCGTGGATTCTCAGGCAAAGATGAAGCTTGGCAGAGAAAGCAGAGTGCAATTACCCGGAGCCTCTCTAGAAAAGGAAACAGTTTATTCCATTGGGAAAGCCCCACTCCCTGGCCACCCCCAAGTGGGAACCCTCCTGAACTTGGTCAAAGGTCCCTGTAGAGAGAGGAGAAAATGCTTCTGCTGCAGGGTGGGGGCTGCCGAGGTCAACGAGTTCACCCTCCGGATCGGGCCCTGGTTCTCCTCTGACCCCTTCTCAGGTGCCCACACCCATGATTTCTCACTCCTAGGCCCAGCTGCACAGAGGCCGGGAAGGCTGAGGAGGCAGAAATGCACGCAGGGTCAAAGGCAGTCTTGGCCCCAGCCAGCCAGGCCCCAGCAGTCCTGGCTTGGGCACGAACTTCTCTGCAGGCCTGGCGTTCCCTGCCTGCCCCTGACGGCCATGGGGAGCACAGTAACAGAGCAGTTTAGAAAGAAGATCCCTCCCATTGCACATTACCTGTGCTCTGGCTCTGGGCCCTCTTTGCCAGCACCCAGATCCCTTCCGTGGGGTGGGGTGTCAGGGTGTCCAGGGGAACGGCACACCTGGCTTGGAAAGCTGTTCTACTCCTCATGAAGCAGGGACCCTGGCTCCAATATACTGAGGAAGTGGGGATAGAGGCCCACTCCACTCTGCTGGCCCCACTCCCAGATCGTCCCTGCCCTTGTCAAGTCCACACTCCAGTAGGTCACATTCTGACACTGTGTGTTCGTTTGGACTAAATAATGTCACCTCCTTAGGCCACAACCTGTAGACTTCATAAAGCTCCTACTAGGTGTGGAGAACATCTTAATTCTTCACACACACACACACACACACACACACACACAAACACACACACAGCTGAACCTTAATTCTCTACATTTTGATCGTTTCTTCAGATTGCAGATTCAGGGAAGAGGCTATCCATTGGGTTGGGGTGAAGGCTCGACAGAAGAAGATGAAATGGTGAAACCTCGAGAGCCTTGGGACTCCAGGATTCACCCCGTCCAGGAAAGCTTTCCTCACATCTGCCTCTGTGCGCCCCTGGGCCAGGCTTTGCCCTAGCACTGAATGGTGTATTGCTCTTTCCTTGTCCATGCATTTGCCTAGAGCAGAAATCACTCTTCCGCCGTTCTGCCCAGTCCCGAAGGTTGGCCTCTAGGGGGCGCTCTGAGAAGCCCGATTGACTGCCAGCCGGGCTCTCTTCCCCAGCCCCCAGGCTCCCTGGCGGCGCCCCTCCACCTTTATCTTTGAGGGCTTTTTCCTGGATAGCGCTCTCGCACATCTAATCCTATGGTGGCATCTGCCTCTTGGCCGACCTGACCTGACCACAAGGTTCCTGGCTGCCAACCGCAGAAAAGGACTGGATCAACTCAAACAGACCCACTGCCTGGGAGGAAGGCTGGAGCTCCAGACACGGAAATGGGCTGAACCCTTGCAAATGTCATAGACTGTGGCCCGGAACAGATCTGGTGAGGACCTAGCCTGCTGGACGCTGGGGTACTGGCACCACCACATGGAGGCAGTGCCGACCCCTGCCACCCTGGAGCAAACCCTGAGTGGTCCTTGTCAACTCAAACCCCACCAAGGGTGCCTGCACCGTCTGCCAGAGCCCGAGGAACAAGAACTGGCAGTTCCCCAGATGGGGAGCTCAGAGGCTGGGCCACCTCAACACCTCCATTCTCCCTGAAGCACCCCAAAAGTGGTGTTTGGTGAACGCCTGTACAGCTGAGCTTCTCCTCCTCCTCCTTTTGCGGTGGTGGTTGTTCAGTCACGTAGCTTTCCCTGAACGTCTGAGGGTCTAGTGTGCACCAGCAGCTGAGGGCGGTGAATGTTTAACCTGGGCTCTGTGGAGGAGAGCAGCCCTGCTGAGCGGGGCTGCCGGCTTTCCGGAGTCCAAAAGCACTGGGCGAGGGCCAAGTGTGCAGGGCCCCTCTGATTCCACCACGCTCTCCGCCTCACTCCCTCTGCACACCAGGCTGTCTGCGCTTGGCGAGTCTGCTCTCTGGTAGGGGTTACCTTCCAGCGCTGAGTTAATTTAGATTAAGTCCAATAATAAGAGGATTCAGATTTCCTACTGTTAAACATACTTGTTTCCCTTAAGATGGTCTCCAACTTACAGCTTTCAACTTTATGATGACGCAAAACATAAAAGAATACACATTCAGTAAAAGGAACTTTGAATTTTAAATTTGGGTCCTTTCCTGGCCAGGGATTTACTTAGTGGTTCTACCACCTGCCTTGAAAGCGCAAGGTCCCGAGTTTGATCGCTGGTACCAAAAAAAAAAAAAAAAAAATTGGAGTCATTTCCCTGGCTAGTGATACGCACTCTGATTCCTGTCAGGCCACGAGTCCCAGTCAGCTTCACCATCACAGGGAGAACGAGCCGTCCTGTGCCATTTTCCACTTAGGGTATTCAATTTGCCATTGGTTTTCCCATCGAAAATTGAGCAGCTTCTTTTATACAGTCAGAAAGAAGCCAGGTGTAGTGGTGCACACCTGTGATCCCAGCACTCTGGGAGGCTGAGGTGGGAGGATCAAAAATTTGAACCCTGTTTGAGCAACTTAGTGATTTAGTGAGACCCTGTCTCAAAATAAAAAATTGAAAAAGGCCTGGGATGTAGCTCAGGCGAAGGCCTTGCATTCAATCCTTGGTACAACAAAAAAATGTGGTGGGGAAGGAGAGTGTTAAAGCCCCGAGTGCAGCGCTGGCCCCAACTCCATGCTGTGCCTCAGATGCCAGCTCGGGCCCTCCTTTCCTCGCTGTTGCTCCACATCCCAGTGAGCACTGTGGAACAGTGGCCAAGGCCATCAGCATGGGACTCGGTGCTTGGTATGCCTGACATAAGACTGTCATAAAATAAGCCACCTGGCCTTTGGAGGGGAGTTTTATCTTCAAAGCTGGAACAGACATATCCCCACCCCTCCCCATGGACAAGAGGGCTTTCCAGAGAGAAAGAATGGGGACCCTGGGATGTCATTTCAGGGACACTGGGTCCTCTACCTGTTCCTCAATTCAGATCCCCGGAAAGGGCACCAGGGGGAGGAGAGGCGAGGGGAGGCACCCCGGGGACAGGGCAGTGGAACAGCGTGAGGAAGGGGCTTTCTCGATATCTCATCCCGAAGGGACGCCTCCAGCAAAGATCTTACCCCCTTCCTTCTACACAGACACCCCCCCACACACACATACCCCATCTAGAAGGATTGGGCAGTCCCTCTGGAGAAGCTGATTGTCTGAATTCTGTAGAAGCTAACAAAGCTGGTGGGAGGAACCCACCTCATTTTCCAAGTGTGAGGGACTCAGAGCCCAGGCCTGCAGGCACCTCTGGCCTCACAGCACAGGGTGGGCACCTGGGTCTTCACAGTAAGCCCAGTGGCCTGTGGCCTGGGTGCCCTGGGGTGGAGCACAGTCTCTTGTTGCAAGTCTGGAACGCTGGGCTTCAGACTGGGCACCCCCTGCTCTGCCGCTGCTGTCCCCAGGGGGGCCAGGGAGAGGGTCCTGGATTGGCAGCCCCAGGGCCAGAAGTCAAGGCCCTTGAGATCCCTTCCCCTGGTCTCAGGCTCGCCTGCCCACCCCATGGGGTTGAGGGGCTCTCTCCTCTCCGGGCCTCTCTCCTCTCCTGGTCTTCCTCCTCTCCAGGCATTTCTGCCGTCTGGGCATTTCTACTGTCTGTACCTCTCTTCTTTCCTGGGCATTTCTCTTCTCTAGGTCTTTCTGCTCTTCAGGGCATTTCTCCTCTCCTAGGGACACGGCTCAAAAAGACAGAGTGCGCAGCCTCACAATTCTCACACTTCCCAAATGTAACTGAAATGAGGAAGGCATAACTTTCCAGTGTCCTTGCAATGCGTCTCTAATTTCAGTAATGTTGGAACAGGTTATCCTGGAGCCCTATTTTATTTATTTATTTTTGTGGTGCTGGGGATGCAACCATCACTCTTTTGGGCAAAACACTGCTTAAGCAAAAAAGAAAAATAATAATATTCAAAATATTTTACAAAATATTCAAAGCACACAACAAAGATTTATATATGTGCTGGACTCCTAGAGTATAATCCCACTTAAAGATAGAAAGACAAAATCAGGAGGCTGAGGCAGGAGGATCCAAAGTTTGAGGCTAGCAGGGGTATGTGACCCTGTGTCAAAATAAAAAATTGTTATAAAAGGGCTGGAATGTAGCTTGGCGCTGCCTGGGTTCAATTTGCAGCAGGTATAGATAGGTAGTGTCTATACTATCTATATGATATAGATTTATTCTACTTTTTAATAATTGTTCATCTCTTACTGTGCATTATTTATAAACTAAACTTTATCACAAGTATGTCTGTACAGTATAGGAAAACTCCCAGTATTTATAGTTTGGTACTATGCAAGGTTTCAGGTGTCCCCTGGGGGTCTTGGAACACACTCATCCATAAGGAGGGACAATTATACCTAGGTTCCAATCTCTCATCAGAAGCTCTCAGGGCCAAATGTGTTTCAGGACTGAGAGTTTCCAGATTTCAGCTGGGTGTGATGGCACGCACCTGTAATCGTAGCATTCAGGAGGCTGAGGGAGAAGGACCGGGGCAAGTTGGAGGCCAGCCTGGGGTACAGAGTGAGTCTAAGGCCAGCCTGAATTGCATAGTGAGACCTTGTCTCAAAAACAAAAACAAACAACTGAGATTTTTCAGATTTCAGAAGTTACTAAAAGTACACATTATATAACACCCCTGGCAGGGTTGGGGGCCTTTCTAAATCAAAACAAAACAACCCACACATTCCTGACTGTGCAGTAAATCATAAACCTTTCCCTGAATGGGATAAAACAAGACTTTTAATAGCCTACAACAGAGCAGGCCAGATCTTACTGATGAATAGGAGAGACATTTCAGTTTTCAGTATTTCAAATTTTGTAGTTGCAAGTAAGGGACCATAGATCTGTACAAATTGCACACAATGTGACTGCAAAGCGAGCAGGATTCAGAGGCGCCATATCGCAGGCCAGAATCACAGTCTGGCGGGTGCATTGAGGGGTCTGGGT